CCACCCCCCAAAGTACAAAAGAGCTTAAAAACACCGCGGGGGGGGGGGGGGGGGGGGGGGGGGGGGGGGGGCCCGGCGTGGCCCCGGGGGTGGCCCTGGAGGTGGCCCTGGGGGTGCTCCAGGGGGTGTGTCCCGGGGGTGGGGCCAGTGTCGGTGCCCCCCGGGCACCCCCGGGAGCAGCTGATGGTGGTGGCACAGGGGGTGTCCTGGGGGTGGCCCTTGGGGTGGCCCTGGAGGTGGCCCCCAAGGGGGTGGCTCTGTGTCACCCCAATGTCAGTGGCCCTGGGGGTGCCCTGGAGGTGGCCCTGGGGTAGCCCATGGGGGGGTTCAGTGGCCCTGGAGGTGTCCCGTGGGTGCCCCGGGGACAGTCAGGGGTGGTGGCCCATGGTGGTGGCCTGGGGGTGGTGACCCTCGAGGTGTCCCACGGGGGGGTGGCCACTCTGGGGTGACCCACGGGGTGTGACAGGCCAGGGGTCACCCGGGGGCCACCCAGGTGTCGGCAGCCCTGTGGCCACCCCCAGGGCAGTGGTGGCCCCTGGGGTGGCCCAGGAGTGGTGACCCCATGTCATCCCACCCTTAGTGGCCCTGTGGGACCCCAGTGGTGGCCCACGGAGTGTCCATGGTGGTGATGCCACTCTGGGGGTGACCCACGGGGGCCACTCTGGTGCCAGCGGCCCAGCAAGTGCTCCAGGGGTGGCCGGTGACGGTGGCCTGGGGGTGTCCCTCGGGGGTGTCCCCGTGTCACCGCACCCTCAGCCCCCCCCAGGCGGTGGCCGGGCCGGTGGCCGGGGTGGTGGCCCATGGAGTGTCCGTGGCGGTGATGCCACTCTGGGGGTGACCCACTGGGTGTGACAACCCAGGGGCCACTCGAGGGCCACTCTGGTGCCAGCGGCCCAGCAGGAGCTCCAGGGTTGCCAGGGGGGTGTCCCTTAGGGGTGTCCCCGTGTCACCACACCCTCAGCCCCCCCGGGCAGTGGCTGGGGTGGTGGCCCAGGGGGTGTCCCTTAGGGGTGTCCCTCAGGGATGTCCCCGTGTCACCGCACCCTCAGCCCCCCCCCAGCAGTGGCCGGGCCGGTGGCCGGGGTGGTGGCCGTGCCGGTGGCCGTGTCAGTGGGGTGGTGGCCGTGCCGGTGGCCGTGTCAGTCCCGTGTCAGTCCCCAGCCATGCACTTGAAGCGGTTCTTGAAGAAGAAGAGGCGCTGTTTGAGCCTCAGGCTGTCGTCCCGCGCCGCCGGGTAGCGGTAGCGGTTGTACTGGCGCTCGCCCTCCGAGCGCCGCCAGGGCAGGGCCAGCTTGGACGCGTGATCCACCACCACGTCCTCGCAGGAGCCCACGTGCAGCACCCCCAGCCCGTCGATGAAGAACTCTGGGGGGGCAAACGGGGGCACCCGAAATGGGCTCAGAGATGCTCTGGGATCCTTTGCCCGGCCTCTGACCCCGCGGGCTTATTGGGGGGGGACCCCAACATCCTCCCCATCTGACCCCGAGGGCTTATTGGGGGGGGACCCCGACATCCCCCCCCCTCTGACCCCACGGGTCTTTGGTGAGGGGATCCCAACATCTCCCCCCCCATGTGACCCCGCGGGTCTTGGGTGAGGGGATCCCGGCAGCCCTCCCACCTCTGACACCCCCCCCCCGGGCCCACTGTGGGGGAGATCCCCGCAGCCTCCCACTTCTGAACCCGTGACCCCACAGTGGGAGGACCCCTGATCCCACTGTGGGGACACCCAGCATCCCCCTCCCAGCCTCTGACCCTCTGACCCCACTTTGGGGGCACCCAGTACCCCCCTCCCAGCCTCTGACACCCCTAATCCCATGGTGGGGGGACCCCTTGACCCCATGGTGGGGGCACCCAGCATCCCCCTCCCAGCCTCTGAGCCCCCCACCCCACTGAGGGGGGACCCTGGCACCCTCCCCCACTCGGACCCCGCGGGCCCATCGTGGGGGGACCCCCCGAACCCGCGATGGGGAGATCCGGGTGTCCTCTCACCCCCGGGACCTCCCTGGACCCTCCCAGCCCCTCCCGATCCCCTCCAGACCCCCAAACCTCCCTCCCGGACCCGTCATGACCCCGGGGCTCCCCGGGACGACCCCAAACCTCCCTCCCAGACCCGTCACGACCCCGGGGCTCCGCGGGACGCCCCCGATCCCCCCGCGCCCCCCGGCCCTCGCTCACCGAGATGAGCCACGCGGCGCAGGCGGGGGTCGAAGCCCACCTGGCGAACCTTGTCGGTGCGGGCCAGGAAGAAGTTGACGACGCCGTCGGTGACGACGCAGGCGGGGAAGCCGGCGAGGCGGTGGTGGAAGCCGGGCCGGGTCCGCAGGCAGTCGCCCCCCGCGCCGCCCCCCCGCACGCTGAGCCGCTGCCGGAACGTGGTGGTGTAACCCGTGATCTCCCGCACCGCGCCGCCCACCTGCAACCGGGGGGGGCAACGGGGGGCTGGGGGGGCTGCACCGCCACCCCCGGGACTGACCCCGCCGGGGGTGGGAACGGGGGATACACCGCGACCCCCGGGACTGCCCCCGCCGGGGAGGGGAACGGGGGATACACCCGCCAGGGACGGGAACGGGGAACGCACCGGGACCGTCCGGCAGAGATGGGAACGGGGGATACACCGGGACCCCCGGGATTGCCCACTGGCGATGGGAACGGGGGATACACCAGCACCGCCCACCACGGATGGGAACGGGGAATACACCGGGACCGCCCGGCACCGCCCACTTGAGGCTGCTGGGGTGGGGCTGCGCTCGCACCGGGATCCCCGCGACCCCCGGGACCCCCCAGCACCGTTCAGCCGCGGCACCGGGACTCCTGGGGACCCCCAGGGTCGCCCAACCCCGGGACCAGACGAGGTGGGGCCACCGCGCCGGGGCTGGGCTGGCAGCGGGAACTGGGACCCCCAGGACCCCCCGGGACCCCCAGCATCGCCTGCCTGTGGCACCGGGACCCCCAGAGCCCCCGGGACCCCCATCACCGCCTCCCGGCGACCCCCGGGACCGCCGACCGCCTGCGGCACCGGGGACGGACACCGAGACCAACCCGGGACCCCCCGGGACCCCCGGTATCATCCCCCCCCGCGGGACGGGGCTGCTCTGGGGGCGGTGCCGGCACCGGGACACCGGGAAACCCCGGGACCCCCAACGTCCCGCGGCACCGGGACCTCCGGGACCCCCAGAAGGGCCCGTCTGTGGCAGCCGCCACTGCCCCTCCTGTCCCTCAGTCCCCCCCGTGCCTCCCCCTGCCCCCCCCGTGCCCCCAATGCCCAGCCTGGTTCTCTCCAGCACCGGGCACCGCACATGGAAACCGGGACCACCCTCCACGGACTACGGGGGTCACATCGGTCCCCCCCCCTGCCCCCGGTGTCACCCCGAGGGTCACACCGGCCCCCCCTGCCCCCGGTGCCCCCCCCGTGCCCGCACCAGGTCCAGGCTGGTTCTCTCCAGCACGTCCACGAGCTTCTCGAGCCGCGTGCGGGGGGTGAAGATGAAGTCGTCGTCCACCCACAGCACGTACTTGGTGGTGACCTGCGACACCGCCAGGTTCCTCCCGGCGAACCAGCCCTGGGGGGGCCGGGGCGGACCCTCAGACACCCCCCCGACATCCCCC